CCCCAAGGCCAGGCCTTGGACCCCATCAGCCAGTGACACCTCTCTGCCTTCCCACCCAGGGGGGCAGTGAGACTTTGGTGAGAGCCCCTCCCACCCCAGGACAGTCAAGGTTCAGGGCTTTGGAGTAAGTGGGACAGCGCCAGCCTGTCTGAAAGGCTTCAGCATTCCTGATAAGAAGCTCCGTAGGGATATCCCACTTCACAGGGCGTCGGCTGAACAGCCTGCTGTGTCCTGAGGATGCCCCAAGGTGGCACCTGTGTGTCTGTGGATCGTCTGCCCTCAGCCTCCCTGCAGCCCATGTGATATGCGGCCAGGGTACCCCTAGGAGTTATGCCACAGGGAGCCCTGTGTCCTTGTCAGGACTTCCAGGACGAGCCTCCTTCCTCACTCAGCAGGTCCCTGTCCTCAGGGTGCTCAAGTGAGGACACCTAAGGCACCAGCTGCTTGTCTGGGCACCTTCCCCCCACCCCACAGCTTATATCAAGATCTGTCATCTAGGCCAGAGGTGGGGAGAGGGGTCAGGGTCTCTCTGGAGACTAATCACAAGGGTGCCTTGGCTCAGAGCCTCTCTCCAGTTCCCCTGCCTGCAGCAGATTCTGATCAGAACAATCTGCAGTGGTTCAGGGATGGTTTACTGACCATCAGCCACAGCTGAGAAAACCAAGGTGCTCCCCCCAAGTCTACAGAATGTATCTCGATGCTGACCAATTGGAGCGCATGCTTCCCCCTAAATAGCCTAGTGAGTGGCAGCTCCGGCCACCAACATGGGAAAGGGCTGGGAGGAAGAAAGCATCATTTTAACCCAGGAGACTGAAGGACAAAGTTAGCACCTGCTGATGAAGCCAGGGAGGACACCTGCATGTGCCCAACGCCAGAGTCCTCCTCCTTCCCAAGATGGCACTCATGCTTGTGAGCATCCTGCTCAGATGAGGGCCCAGGGCCACCCTGTGCCATCAGACTTGCAGGAGGCAAAGGGCTGGTATAAAACCACTGGGCTGGGCTGTAATCACCTCTAGAACCTGCTGTATCTGGGACCAGGGGCAACGCCTGGCTGGTAGGGTGGGTGGGAATCAAACTCAGGTTTCTCATGTGGCCTCAGCCTGCTGAGCAGCAGTACTTACCAGCAAGCATTACGGCAGCCGGGCCTCAACATTCCCATGTTATGTATGGGAAAACTGAGGCCCAGAGAGGCAGTGATATGTTCAAAGCTACTCAGGTTCTCTCAATATCCTGACCAGAGTCTTGGCTGGGGAGGTCCACCCACTGGGTCAGACCCAGCAGAGGCAGGGCACGTGGTGAGAAGGCAGTTGGGTGTGAGCTTAGGGCATGAGGTCAGACAGGCCTGGGTCTGCAAGTTCCCACTGAACTCATTGCTTCGCTCACCCACCGGACATACACTTCCTGAGAACCTCCCGTACAGGTTTTGTTCTGGGTGCAAGGGATACAGCAGTGTACAATACCGGCAAAATGTCTCCTCTTGTGCAGTTTGCATTTCTTGTGGAAGGGCCAAATACTAAATAAATAAATGCATAATGTAGTGGCCAGAGACGCCGCACACTAAAAGAGAAATTCCCCTGGAGGAGAGAGCTGGAGGTCTGCTTTTCCATGCTGAGTTGGGGGAGATGGTCAGGAAAGGCATCTCTGAGTAGATGACATTTGAGCAGAAGCCTCCATATGGGAGAGTCTTAGGAGAAAGTTTTGGCCAAGGGACAAGCAGATATAACACTCCCAACAAGGAAGCTGCCATAGGAACTCCAGGAACAGCAAGAGAGGATGGAACAGAATGAAAGAGGGAGATGGTGAAGGGTGTGGTTGGGAGGGGCAGGATGTGTCACACTGTCAGGACCTCCAGCGAGGGCTCTGAGGGCAGCCACCAGAGGCCTGGGCCACTGCTATGGTTTGGGTGTCCTCCAAAACTCGTGTGTTAGAAATTGGTTGTATTGCAAATGTATTAAGAAGAAACCTAACACCTTCATGGTGTTGAAAGGTGGGACCTCTGGGAGTGGTTAAACCATTACGGGGAAGGGGGCCTGGGACTGCCTCCTGGTGGGTTTGTAAGAAGGAAGGAAGGAGACCAGGAGAGACACATGCTCTCTCTGCTCAAGCTCTCACCAGATCTGGTCCCTGGACCTTGGACCTCCAGACCATGAGCTGAATACACCTCTACTTTATCAAGTCAACCAGTTGTAGGTATTTTGTGTTCTTAGCAACAGGCCAGACTAAAACAGCCGCAAGCTAGTTGCATGCTATTGGCAAGGCATTTTCACTGATGACAGCTCTCATCTCCCAGGGAGGGCCACTGGGGGGACCCACTGAGTTGCTGACTACCAAGTGCTTGGCACAAAGGAAGGACCCAAATGGTAGCAGCTGTTGCCTGGAAGCCTTGTGTTACTTACCTTCATAGAATTAAAAAACACGTGAGTCCCCATATTTATATTTTGTCCCGTAAGTCCTCTGCTTCTGCTTCTCCTCAGGAAGGTTCAAGGTGAGTTTACACGGAGGGTAAAGAGCAGTACTGCACGCCACCTCAGAAGTGATGGC